TTGTTCGGAATTCATTTGCTAACTTTAATGCAGAGCCGCATTGGTGACGACTTTAATTACTTATTTCAAATTGATCATTGATTTTAACTATATAGATTCAGGATCCCCGTTACGCCTAACACCCTTTTCTTCCATCCAATTCGATCTTCGAGAACATATCGTGCTTGCCAGCGCAGATAAATAGCTCCATATGTGGAGCATTTGTAGTGAGTCAGCTTATGGTTCTTTTCATAGACATTTCATGTGTGAAATACTTTTGCGCATATAGCAATTCAAAACAAATAAATCAATGAGATTCTTTACAGTTAGGCGGTTATTTCCGTAGTTGAAATAGCTATTTACCTAACAAGTTCGGTAAGTTAAATTTTCCCGCATGAGCACTTTGTTGCAGCACGACGCCGTAGGAGTGCTGCATTTTAGTGCGCAATGGAAAATTCTTTCCGAAAGGAGTTAGGTACAATATTTTTTGTAACGAATTGTGTAAAAAAGGTCAAAATTAATAAAGTTTTGTAAATAGCTTTTTTTTAATCATGAGTGTGGTAACACAATCATAGTTTGGTTGGTAACATAATTTTGTAACTACCCACTTTTAATAATGCACTGGGTCACATTTAAAACTTCCACATCTCTGGTTAATACATATTTTGCCTTTTGCAATGAGTGCCTACTACTGGTCACGGCATTGCCTCGTTTGCACTGAATATCTTGAATAAGTAAATACACTCGTTACATTTAAAATCCTTGGAAGCTTTGTGTTGTGTTAATATGTGCTGTTCTTAAACTGCATATGCGAATAGTTGCAGAATATCACTGGTCACATTTTAAGACTTTTAGCAATAAATTTTACTTTTTCTTGAGTTCCAATTCTGAAAAATAATTTGATTGCGTTATAAGTTCTTGTTTATATATTTACGTAAAACTTAGTGTACGTCTGTTTCCGATTAATCGCGCACTAAATACCCTCAACCAACGGTGTTAAATGAATTTTACAGCAGATGACAGTTAACCATGACATGACGTTCGTTGACTTCAATAAGTACTACCAACTGAGAAACGCGCATAACCCCTTCTCTCCAGCGGAAACTAAAAAACAACCGCGATGCCGGGAAAGTCGTTTTCCGCGTGGCATCGAGGATGCTTGGAACATTATCTTTCCAATCAATGAGTACATAAAAATCCAATTTCATAGCCTCCAAAATAGGAGAAAAACTTATCTCGCGATCCAGAACAAATTCGACAATCACACGCAACAACGGGTCAATCACCAGAAATAATATTTAAAGATGTTGGCAATTAGACCAGCATGGAACTTTTAAAAGAATCACACGGAAACGAAAGGCAACATGCGCCGTACCACCTACTACGAAATACTGAACATCAACAAAATACATACATTATATATCAAGGTAGAGAAGTACAGTATTATTGCCTGAGCACCAAGATTACATCTCGAGGCGCTTGCGCCGAGGGGTGTAAGGTGCGAAGGCAATAATAGACTTCTCTACCGTGGTATATATACTATTTTTTTCACTACTAGCACTTGAAGTCCTCTACATTAGCATATTATATTGATAAGAAAGTGAACGGTTGGATAGAATTTTTTGTTTATTAATTTAACATGTCAATCAAGTACGTAGAAGTACAAGTCAAACAGGCCGTATTTTGTTCTGTCATTGAGATATTTTCAAAGAGTAATTTCGTTCGAATTTTTTCAAAATGTGATAATTTTAAGTATGTAATTCCTCTGAAAATGGCGGATGGTGGCAATTATTCGTTTTAGAGAACTTGTCTAAACGTTCATTGAGCGAAATTTCGGGTTGTGTTTTCTAAAAGTGACAGCGTGACAGTTCTCATTATTGACTACTAGTTAATAATGTCCACATTATTAACCACTTTGAACAAATGCCGAGAAAGCCTACTTTACAAGTGGAAAAAAGGTTAATAATCATGTCATCAGACGCTATACTTCGTTCACCCAACAGAAATAGTTAAGCCCCTCCTCAACAATTACCGCCACATTTGAATACGACATTGTTATTGGTGTAATTTTTGAAGCCACAATCACACTTGTAAAGCGAATTGGCCGAATTGGGTAATCTGTCATCTTGCCTATTGCGTTTCTGCCGGTTTTTACGTTTTTACATCTTTACTTGCGTCAATTTGCCATTAATCTCCTTTATTCACACAAAATAGTCTTTATAAAGACTCGTCGGTGTATTCTAAAGATAGTCAGGTGAGTAATTATAAAATTTTATACACGATTTTTACATGCCTGTTTTTAGGGTTATATTATTCGCGATCAAGAAAAGTTGTACGCAAACATGAATGTCGCCGGTGCTGCTTTCTCTCCACCGAAAAAACGTTCTGCCAAGCACTTTTCAGTTGAAGACAAAACTGGCATTTTAAATATCTTCAAGGCATATTCGGAAGACAACCCGGAGGTATCTAAAACGGATAAAGTTGAGTTTACGGCTAAAGCAGCAGGTAATTTTCATCTTAGGCACATTCATTTTTACTTATTATTGTGTAATTTAGGTGTAAGCATTCCGAGTGTCTACAAGATTCTTCGGGAGTATACAGAGGTACACGAACTTCATTCACCTAAAAAATATTATCGACCACGAGCAATTTTGGACAATATTGATTCCGGAACTAAAAGTATTCTTTGACGTTTGCTTCATTCTTTCTTTGAAAGAAATAAACCACCTACCCTGAGTAAAGTTTTGGCAGTGTTACACGTCCACTATTTCAACAAGCAGTGGAACATGTTACTGCTGAAAATTGGAAGAACGCAATTCGCCATGCTCAAAGTGAAGAGGAAAAAATGTGGCAAATTGACATTTTAATGGACATCGTAGTGGAGCCATTAGTAATTCATGTGGGAGATGACTCGACATCAACGGAGTCCGAATCCGAGTGAAGCGATACAGGATTTAAATTGTTATGTACCTTTGTTTATATTCAAGTGCACTTGTAATTTCAAAACTTTGTGCTGCTGTAATAATACTTTTTTGTACTTTTCTCAATATAAACAATGTTTTTATGGTGCATATTTACATGTATTTAACAGTTTGCAGGTTTTACTATTTTTGCCACGAGTTATGTTCAGAGAGATAGCGCCATAATTAGTCTTGAGCAAGTGACATTTCAATTTGATTTTTCAAATTTTCCGCTTTTTATAATTTTGTGGTTGTAAAACTGGTTGCTGCTTACATTGGCCCAAATTTTGTAGGAGTGGCTTAACTATTTCTGTTGGGTGAACGAAGTATAGTAGTGTATCTACGACCATTAAATTATGCGCTTATAATATGCCTCTATTTCTATAAATAATGCTAGCCATAATTAATTGCTATGCAGTTATGGAATCAAACTTGGTCTACGATTGGTTGCAATCCATTGAATAATATTCATAACTCAATGGTTCCAAAATAGCGCGCTCCTTGAAAACAAAACATGAAAATGTTAATTATCGAGACAATCATTCTCGCTAGTATTTTTCCGTTAGCTTATTCATAAGTTAGGAATGGATCTCGATAGTGAGAACGAAAATAATGAACTCGTGGCCGTGGGTACACCTCCTGAGGTTATGCACCAGGCAGAATAAGTGTGTTCAAATTTGCCCGAAAAGTCTCGAACGAAGTACGAACACGTATATGGAAAGTTTATGGAATGGAGACGTCAAAAAAAGGTATCATCTTTATCTGAAAATGTTCTTCTTGTATACTTCGAAGAATTATCTAAAAAGTATTCTTCCTCTTCACTGTGGACATTCTATTCGATGTTACGAACTACATTAAATCTTCATGATGGAGTGGAAATTGATAAATATCCCAAACTACGTACTTTCCTTAAACGTAAATCAGATGGACATCTTAAGAAGAAATCTAAAATCTTCAGCCCCGAGGAGATAAATGCATTTTTTAATAATGCACCTGACGAAGTATATCTTGCAACAAAGGTTTCTGACGTTTCTTAGTACGGTTCTTAGTTTAATCTTTCGTATTTTTAGGTTGCATTGATAATGGGTTTAATGGGTGCATGTCGAGCCTGTGAGTTAAGTGACATGAAAGTCGAGGATATTAAAGATTTTGAAGGGGGAGTTATTATCACAATACCTAAAACTAAAACTAAAATTGTCCGAACGTTTACAGTTACGGGTCAATTCTTTGATATATACAAGAAATATGCGAAATTGCGCCCACCTACCGTTCAATCCCCCTTCTTTTTTTTAAATTTCCAAAAGGGAAAATGCACAAGCCAAAAAATTGGAATTAACAAATTTGCGAAAATGCCCAAAGATATTGCTACCTTTTTGAGACTTACGAACACGGATTTATACACCGGTCACTGTTTCCGAAGAACATCCGCAACAATCCTAATTGATGCTGGTGGAGACATCATGGCTTTGAAACGACACGGTGGCTGGAAATCGACAGCCGTAGCCGAAGGATACGTTGATACTTCCTTGACAAATAAGTTGGATACCGCTACAAAAATTTCAAGCTCTGTGATTTCTACTTCCAATATCGCTCCACAACCTGCAGCATCATCATCAAGACATCTTGTAGTACTAACGTATTAAATGCAAATGCACATTTTGAGACCCATGCTCAAACCAACTTGCAACCAAATTCTATAACATTTGTTAATTACGGTACCATGACAGTTAATTTTTCAAGATCTACCACAGAACTTACTCCGCCATAATTCGACGTTAAATAAGAAATCTTTCCTTTATAGAATTAAATCCTGCTTACTTTGTTTTCATTTCAGTTATTTTTGCGAGTATTTATTGTAATGTAAATGCTAATAAAATATTAATCTAATTGAAGTAATAGTCGTAGATAAAGTATAGTATTACACTCGCATGTTATGGCTCTTATTCACTCGGTTTACTTGCTCCACTCGCTCGCAAGCTCGCTCGCGTCGCAAACGTCAACCTCGTGAATAATAAGCGTCATAACATGCTCGTATAATAATATACTATTAATTTACAAACAAGACTGTTACAATGTTCAATAGCAATATTCAACTGTATAGTAAAATGATCATCAAAATACCGTATCATTTTGTATCTGTAGGTATTACTATAACGGTCACAAGTCACTGCTAACTATCATATCACTTATCATTGTGAATTACGATTTACCCAACTGCTATTATCGTTATACTTTTGAGGAGAGGTATGTAATCTATGTAGCCACAGGACCTTCGTATAAACATTTCTGATTGTATAGGTTAAACCTAAACTAATTGCATAAGATGGGTACATGCAACAACCAGAAAATAAAAATTTTAAAAAATCATTAAGAGAACAGTTTTTAATATTGCACCACACTCTGCAAATAATACAAAAACTGGGCGGTATGATAACAAATAATTAATAGTCAGGTACATAGGATTGCCTTCTGCAGATGCACCTCTAAAAAGCAAGCCTGTTGAGGGCCTAGAACAAGAGAGAGAAGTTTAAGCGATTGTCACTATTATCTACAGTATAGCAAAAAGCTTTTAGTAAAAATTTGAAGTCTCTAGCTATTATAATTGCTGAGATATTAGCCGGACAGCCAGCCAGTCATAACGAATATAATAACCTATTTTTTTCAAAAATGGCTGAAAATTGCTGAATTTTTTTTTGAGTTCAATTATAATTCATAAAAAATGTACAAATTTATTCAAGAAATAAACTTCCGTGGGTCGATCTCTTCAGGAATGTTAAATTGACCTTGAGCATAAAGTTTTTTTTTATACAAAATCCCCAAAACGATCGACTCCTATTTTTAGACAATGCAAAAATTTCAAATAGCTTACATTTATGGATGACTTGAAATTTTCTCCAATTCACAGTTGATTTTCTCCTTTTGAAAAGTAGCCGAAATTCAGAAAATTGCATTGTGGAGCGGTTTGTCCTGAGCAAAACAATCGGACCTATTGTATCGCATGGTTTTGAAAGATGATTGATGATTTGTATCAGGAACTAACTGGGCTTCAGGTTTCTCGGCATATAATAGAACTTTTGTTTATTTACTGCATTAATTTATCAATATGTTCCGTATTCAGGAAATGTCATAAGCAACCCTTATAACTTAGGGTTTTAACAGCCAGTAAAAGCGCGAAGGAATCGTCTTTAAACTTTTTACCGGTTACTATTTTATTTAGGGCTGCCCTTGTATACACAAAAGAGGTGTACCAATTTGATTAGTAAAGTTCTCTATTGTAACTTGTATTGTATTGTAATTGCCCAAAAATATCGCAATGAAACGTTCTGTACACTATAAGCACTTTCTTGGTAACTGTTTATTTAAACGTGATCACGATGCTCCAATAATGTAATGAAACGAAAATGCTCGCGTAAGTATTAAGAAAGTAACATATTTACTTTATATTGAGATACGGTTACTAAAATCTCTTGTGGGTGTTGCATGTAGTTTCAACTTTCACCACCTTTGCTAAGAAGATCCATTGGGCTGTAGGGAAAACATACCTACCTACCTTCTTGCAAACGATATTTGGAAGATATTTGAATAGAAGGAGAGTAGAAGCTGTAAAATACCGGTCTAAAGCGCTCGTACGATTGGTCACAATGGTCACTTCTCTTACCTATACACTCCACTTTATCTGCATCAAACAGCAGAAGTACATACACCTGTTGAAAATCAGAACAGTACCACCAGGAAGCGTAGACATGGATTACCTTGCAGTTAATAAAACTTTACCTAAAGGTCTATAAGTTATATATTTGTCAACAATAAAGTGTTAAATTAACTATACAAATTAGTGATCTATAATGCTAAAATTCTATTTACACTATTTACAACAAAAAGTTTAACACTTTGTTTAAAATATTTTCATAAACTTTAATATGCATCTATTCCATAATAATATGCATTGCTATAGTTTACATTTCTTGTTATATAATTATTTAATTAGTTACATGCTGTTTTTTTTATTAGTCCTCTACGTTAATGCTCTCTATGATTACCTACATGCATCTTTAATCCTTTATATAGAAAATATTTTAAACACATCCGTAATATTTTATTATATCTTATTCTTTAAGATAATCACAAATTTGTTACTGTTTTAATTAGATTCTGAGTAATTTGTGTACGCTATAGCTTTCATTTTGTTTCAATTCCAATAGACTTTAAAATATCAACAATAGGATAGAGAGGACACTTATGCTAACGAATAGACGGAGATAAAATTTGTTAAAATTGACTTATAAATGTTCAAAATATCGTAAGGCAGTATTGCGTCAACTTGAAGTTTTCATTTCTAGTTGAATTTGTTTAAAACAGGCACCCGTTTCTACTGTTCCCATCGTTTAAACTTGCACGTTAACGCAATACGGCGTATTTAGTAACATTACCTTATACAATAATTTACCTAAAATTTAATCGAAATAGTTTTGGAGCCTCAAAATTTGTTTTTGTTACCGTAGCATAAGACTTCGATATCACCATTCTACAATATCCATTGACTGGATGAATCCTAGAAATAATTGGCAGTACGCTTTGTTAAAAGTATTTTTTTTGTTTTGATTACATTTTCAAGATGAACGCTACTACAATAATTTTTTTTAAAAGTTGGATATTACCTTCGCGTTACGCGTGAACTAAATGCACAACTATCCATGTCATAAGATACAACGCGTAGTCCGACTTTTCCAAATTGATCGCCAATTCTCCACAGGTAGTTCACAATCATTTTATAGCTATCCGAAGGCGAGAGAACAAAGGCGACTGTAGTAACTGGTCGTTTTTTTTTGTTATAAATCTAAGTGAAACGGCACGAATACACGAACGCGCATGAATAGCAGTGCAAAATTCGCAAAAAATGGCCGCAAATGTCACCAAAAAATCCATCATTACCCATGATAGTTGCGCAACAATTTTCAAGGAGGATCCTCAGATCCTTTGTCTCTTATTGCTTTTAGGAGATGACTTCTAAGTTCTGATTCTGAACTTCGCCAAAGCAGTACGAGTTCGTCCTTAGATAACCTATCTAGTGGGGATTTGCCGTTGGAGTTTCGCGGGGAGCAGTTGGGGGGAGGTGGAGCCGGTGGTAGGTCGTGCTCTTTGCATCTGGGAGAGCGTGATCTGGAAGACTCCTTGGGAGGGTTACTGTCTAATGACCTGGAATGTTCGCTGAGCTTGTTTCTGCTACGGGAACGGTCAGTGTGGGTTTTGGTCTCATCGCCCAGGCTCTGGTGACGCTTCTTTATTTTTCGGGTGGTGCTCGGTGGTAGCTTCGATGTGTCTTCGACTTGAATACGCGGGGGATTTGTAGGTTTGGTGTTATTACTGTGACTTCTTTTTATGGGAGGTTTAATGTGTTCTACTTTCGTGGTTAGATGAGACTGTAATTGATCTATGGTTAATTTGTTTCTTCGGGCTATTTCGTCATCGGAAAGATTACTCCTGTGATCCACACTGGATTGCGATAAAGTTCGTGTAACTTCTCTATCGGTATCTAGGATATTCTGACAACTCTTCGTTAATTTCTGAGGAGATTGGCCCAGTTTGGTGTTCGGATCGGTACTGTTTAACATTTGATCACTTCTTCCAATTGTTAAGCTGTACTGTGGCTGCAGCCTGTGACGACTGCTTGGTTCTGTGTACTTTGGTAGTGTTGCCAGTTTTCTGCCTATGCTTTCGGAATCGGAAAGCTTACGCGGAAGTTCGGTCGACCTTGAGCTGCATTCAGAAACGTTTTCAATCGAGAGTACGGGGCTTTTGCCTGAAAGTTTGGCTCCTGTATTTACTATGTCCAGATGACTAGATCGTCTGCTGTTAATATCCGGTGGACTGTGCGATAAAAAGCAGGAAGCGTCCTTGCTTAGTCTTCTTCCCACAACGGTACTTCGGTCAGGTTTTAAAGTTTGAGAGGAAAACACACTGTCGGTACTAAATCGTCGAACGTTCAGTGCGGTTGAGCTTTTCGTTTTGTTTTTAGTGCGCGGACTGAAAAGTTGCTTTGTAAAGTGTAGCGCGGGCGATTTTACTTTCGGGGGATTTTCTATTTTAGGACTCGTGCGTAAAAACGTACGCCGTATGATGCTCGGGCTCAAATTCGTTTTCTTTTCCTCGGGTGTTAGCTGGTGTTCGGATTCCACCTCTGTCACGGACTCCAACGGTAAAGTTCTCTCTTCTTGTTGCTGTCTACGAATTGTACTAAAAATGGTCATTAGCGCTTGAAACATACTAATACTATACCAACCTTCGAATCTCTTGTATCATCTCAAAAAACTGTGCTTTGCTTCTCCTCCTTCTTCGTTGTTCGTGTTCCTTCTGAAACAGTACGGATTAAAAACTTCGAAATACTGTTTGGGTAACACAAATTTTAACATTCCACGTCTTTCCGACAGAAACTTTTCTCAATATTTTAGTCCTTACTGGAATAACCAGATCAATTTTATGCTCTGTAATTTCACTCTATGTACATTATTTTTAGGTTCTCGATAAAACGTATACCGGTATTTTTTTTTAATGTATACTATAAAAAAGGGATCAAATCAATAGAATCATGACCGACAGACCGATAGACCGACAGACCGATCGAGATTATCGCATTATCGAGATTTTGTATGTTTCGGATTCCTGGTGCTTCAAAACGTGTATTTCTGTCAAAAAATTGGGAGTGCATTCTTGACCCCAATGCAATACATCTCTTACTAACGTGCGGGTGGTAAAAATAAAGAATAATAGCTAACCTTAGTTAGACATTAAATAATCAAGGTACCGTCGTTTCCACAACAGACACAGAAATTCCTGTAAAGTTGGTTGCATATTATCACCATCTATTCCTTGCATTTGATTCGTTTTATACTATCCGCACGTCAGTAAGGGAGGTATTGCATTGGGGTAAAAAATGACACTCAACTTTCTTGACGGAAATACATGTTTTGAAGCACCAGGGATCCGAATCAAACAAAATCTCGATGATTTCGGTTTGTCGGTTCGTCTGTACTCTCATTTGCGGCTAGACGGCTCAACCGATTGGAACCAAATTTGGTTCACATATTCTTAGACATAAAAAGAAGAGCTGAAAGGCTTTTGGGCGGAATCGCGCATGCGCAAGTGTGTGATTACATGTGATGCCACTTGTAGCTTCCATATTTGGAATATTGAAGAAAAGTGAGAGACCACGTGAAGAGCAATTAAGAGATATTTCAGGAAACAAGCAAGGTCCACCCCATCAATTAACTACCATACCAGGCACAAGGAAAGATCGGACAGTCGATCTGGCTGTATCATGGATTTCTAAGAATCTCAAAGTCACACGGACTTCTTCATTTGATACGTCAAGGGAAGTGGACCTAGACTCTCCTGCTGACCAACGGACGCTTAAGTTCAGGGTAGGAGTGAAGTCGATATCACTACATGGGAATTTAGTCAGCTTTCGTGGAGCGTGATGTTGATTTCTCCTCTATTGTTAATGAAATATTGGCGTCCTTTTGGTCAAGTTAAAACATAAACTCCCGACCCTCCGTAGATGTCCGAAATGAGCAAGGATATGCACGTTGGTCAACGAGTTGGTGACGACCTCATCGCTTCCAACAATGCTGACACTCCAGTCTGTGTGACATCCCACTCATTCTAATCCCACAAATTTTTCGCAAGATTCATGTCAATAGGTGGTTGTGATTTAGAGAAGAAATATGTAGTGGAAACTACTTATAAGTTCTTTCATTTCTGGTTTAGCTGATGGTTCGAACGAATTTCGTTCACAAATCTTCAAGAATCTAATTTTTTCAAGCGTTCGGATTCAGTACTCATATTTCGGGCCAGGTTCCAACTGAAATCTGCTCTATTCCTATTCTATTCGGAATTTCCCTCCCAGCCATAAAGAAGAAGTTTTGCGAAACAAGACCTATTGCCGTGGGAAATTCATGGAGAAGAATAGTGTCCGAGATAGCACTTTGGCGAGTGACACCTGAGATATGGAAAGGTTTTTCTCCACATCAACTCCGAGGTGGGGTGAATGGAAGAGCGACAAGGTATTTCTGATCCGATCACCTTGAGCCTAAAGCACTCCTAAAAATTGGATTCTGAAACACTTTCAACGAAATCAGGAGAGACTATTCTCAATTTAGTAAAAGCCCCCCAATATTACCGGTTTTTCTTTGAACCCTACAGAAATGATTCCGTCATTTTTGACGATTCAACAAATATTTCTCAATTCCAGCATGGTTTTCCGTGAAGATTCATCCAATAGTTCTTGCAATGTGTTCAAATCGGAAAATTTGGTACTTAGATCATGGGACTTTTCCGAGTGACCCATCCACCGTGCATGATGACTTTATTTGAAGGTGAAGCAGAACCTGAGATACTTGAGAATTTCGAAATTCCACTCCTGGAATTGAGCTGATGATATTAACTGAAAAAGTGCTAAAGGAAAGCATCTCACAGTTCAGATGCCTTTCCTGCTATTTAAATTGTTTTTTCAGCTTCTATGTTCTTGAGGGTAGGCTCCACTTGAAATCCCATGGAGAGGTTGGAAAAATACTTCCCTTGAAATAATTGCAAACTGTAAACTCAGAGACTCATGAACACAATCCTCTGTTCTGGTCATATTTTGAGGTTCAGGAATCTGCCATTCCACGGATCTCCCCCCTGTTGCTGCCAGGCCTCTGTCCTCAGCGTATTCGCTAATCTCATCACTTCTGCCTCACGGTATCGAGTTATCGACCAATTCCTTCAGGATTAATGAATGGATTGAAGATATACCGTAAGCGTACCTGTCTTGGTCAACCTCTACGTCCCAAGTCGCTTGGAAAACGGCTTCAGACTCAATGATGTTCATAGCTATGCGGCTACCTTTTCCACAGTTGGGAACCGTATTGGACAAAGAGTCTTTCCGAGTAAGCAGTCTCCTATTTTCTTCCTTAAATCCTTAATGTATTGCATTGTGTGGGCTGCAGAGAAAGCAGAAGCGGAAAGCATTCAAATTTGAGTTTCTAATTCATTCTCAAACTGTAACTGTTGAAACAAGCGAAATTTGGGTTAAAGATGGTAGAGCACCTCAACTGTACAAAATTTGAACCGAATAAGTTCAGAGACAGAGGGCGTGGTCCTACGGGGTCATTGGATTTGACCCATTTTCAATATAGGAGTCTTACATGTGGGATATAAGTCAACTATAGAAACTTTGAACCGAATCGGTCCAAGCGTTTGGCAGTTATTGTGTCCATGGACGGACAGACGGACAAACGGACACCATCGACTCTCCTATAAAGCTTGCATCACTTTGCTCTGCCGCTTAATAAGAGCCATTGGCAAAAAAATTTCAACTGGAACGAGAGAGAAATATAATCCATAGATTATTTTAATATTTATGAATTGTGATTGCATTTTTGGAATTTGACTCATTTTCGACACAGCGGTTGTGTCCTGGTCGTAAGCGTGTCCCATGATTAGGGGGCGCTTTCTTGTATGCCCCAGTTCGCTCTTATACCTAAACTCTTGTTTAAAATCTTAACCTTACTGGCATCACCGTATCCAATCTTATCCCCATTCGGTAACTCAACATTTGCATGAATTCTGTAAACTATGTCCAAAAATTTCCTCCAATTAACGGCATTATTTTGCAAGTGGAAATATGCTCTTATGGAGTTTTTTGTGTGTAACAAGTGGTACCAAAACTACTGTAAATGTCGTCTTGAGGTACGTCAGCTTTGGACACTTTTTCATTCATTCAGCAAGGCTTTAAATGCGGATAAAACTGTCACCTGCGCCTCAACTATAATGAACTCATGTATATTTAAGTAATTTACGAGACGATGATCAATGCATTTTTCTGATTCCTCTAACCATCCTTGTCCATTTTCTATGTTCAAATTGTCCAATCTATCACTTGATCGTGCAGCCACCAAAATTAACGTCAAATACCTTTTAACATGATTGAACATTGAAATAAATCCAAAAGAAACCTGCGTACAAGAAAAAGAAATCCTAATAGCTTGAAATGTCGAAGAATAAATTGCATCTTTCACAGTTCCGGATCCATATCAAGTTCAAACTCATGATAAGAGAAACATACACTTAGTAGCAAAGTTACGAAGATCGATTCGTTAACTCTCACCTGACGACACCTAAAGTCCTTTTGATTTGAATTCTTCAGAGATAAACGAAACAAGCAAAATTTTAACGATATTTCCTTAAGGTTTGCAGGTGATGAGGGTGGTGAGCACATGACTTGACTTCTAGATGGAGCACAAAAATCAAGATAATCTGAATTCTTAACGTTTCCCTAACCAATTCGGAATAGGTTCAAATAAATATAGGTAGGTACGCTGTTGTGTTACGTTAATCTTAGCAACAATGTGAAAAACAGCCGGTTTTAGTTGCACTTGTCTGATAGATGGTAGCCTCAATGCAAATGTGTACATTTTTGTTTCACAAAGAGTAGGTCATAATCTTTCCGAACAGATCTAGTTACAAATTAAAGTATTTGACGTACCCTTTTGACGCTCTTTTGGAAGAGACTTGTAATCTGTCCTTGCCGAATTGTATGCACAAGTTCTCGTGCGGCGTGATGAGGTGAAACCAGTTCAACGCAGTTAATGAATCTATAAAGTTTCTAAAACACGAATCGTGTAAATTTGTTAGAGTTCAACCCTAAAAGCTTCTTACCTGACTAAAGAACATAATGTTTCGGCTTCTCCACACCGAATCTTTAGGTTTATCACGTAAGGCCGGCAAAGTGTAGCGAAAAAACATGTGTTCGACGAAGAGAATTAAACACCCTAAAATCATTCCGACTCCTAATAAAATAAACACTCCCGTTACGGCCGCAACCCCAAGAGGCTTAGGTTGGGATAGAGACTCCATGTCCATTGTCATGCCCGCTTTAAAGCATGGCAGTCCACCGTACCACTTCTCTTGCAAAATGTCCATGTACCCGTTACTTGAATACTTAGAAATAATGGCCGAAATACTATCCTAAAACAGCAACCATAACCGCAGGTTTGGCCCAGTTTCTCTTACTTTTAAAGGAAAACCCTTGTTCATCCCCACAGCGTACGTGTCCTCATTAATTGTGTCCCCAATCTGTTGAAGTTTGCATCCGTGATCAGTTGCTCTGTAATAATCGAGAATTGGAGTATCCGCAATTAGGATATCGAGCGTTCCGTTCCTAAGACGCGCAATTCCTTCCTCTACATTTTCCATGCGATATTTGTTGATGTGATCCCACAAAACTTTGTTCGCTCGTTGTACGTAATACTCTGCCGCTGACGCACGGGGTGCTCCCACCTTCTGACTTAGCAGCTGAAACAAATTAAATGAGATTACTTGCCGAATTTATCGTTTTAGCTTTAAACCCGCATTCATGATCCGCGAGTATCAACTCAATGAAGCGAATTTATTGGAACTTGATTTTACTTACGCTTCTGTCGTGGTAATTGCTGACAGTGTTGTGGAAGAACAAACCGGCAATTAACGCTGCAATGTTCGCCGTGTAGCTCGCGACGAATATCACAGAGAATCCTCCCCAGACGTTAATCAAAAACTTGTTCGGCCAACTCTTGGGGGCCTTAAATGCGACAAGATGACCGCAAAGTAAACCCCACATCACCCAAAGTGCGGAACTCATGCTGAAATTTTTAGAACGTTGACGTCCCCAAGGGTTTAAGCCGAAAGGCGATAGCCATTCGTATATCGCTACCGCTATAGCTGTTATGTTCAAACTTGTAAAGATCGCTATCCAAAGTTCGGGCGAGAATGGCAGTAGGAAAGCCAATAAGGGTATCTCAGATTTTTGCTGCGGAGCTGCTAGGAACGAAACTCCGCTAAAGTAATACGGGATACTAAAATCTATGACTTCACTTCTTATTCTAGAAACACTAAGGGCCGCGAATGACATATGAGCTGCACCCGAAACCAAATCGCCCACGACACCGTTCCACTTGAAGTCAACTTCATCGGCGACCTCCCGCGAGCTCGGTTCACCCGCGTGCACCTCCTGCTTAAAACGGTAATTCAAAAAGTGCTTCCCCACGTCCCGCTTATGTCTCCTAATCACATTCCTGCTCCCGTACAAACCATCCGCGACTATGTATAATCGAAAATCAAACTCGAGTTCGTGCGCAATGTTCTCCAAAAGGTCCATCGCTAAACCGTAACAGCAATTTGTGCGATATTTAATTTTTTGAAAGGGCGAAAACTTATCCTCATCATTTTCGCTGCGCATAAAATGTCCCGGATGTTTATACTGTGTGTTCACTCCGCTCTCCTCTTCCAGCCGTTCCTGCATTTCCATTTGGTTAAACACTAACGTTAAATTGTCCTTATCGGAAGTTAGTACGCGATGGCATGGAAGACCTTAAATTAAACCAATTAGTTTGACGCAAACCGCGGCTTAAATACCTCTAAGGCACTGTCCGTCTTCATCCAGCTCACCTTCCATAACGAAAGGGGGTGCAAGAGCAGTAACCACCCGAAATACGCTACGTGCTCTTGAAGACACTGCCGCAACCGACAAATCTCCTCCAGGCCATACGATGGTATCGAGTCGGACGGATCTTCCTGAGACGATTCCAACCCTCTTCCATTTCAGATCGACGCCATCTGATACAGAAAGGTATTAAATGGCGATTAGCACTAACGGCGGGTCCTACGTACCTGACACCGTTTTATTTGTTTCATCGTCTTTCGTTGTGCGGTCAGGAACTAAATTTAAAATCTCAAAATTAGATACTAATGATTTGTCCAGTTTGTCAACGCCATTTTCTTGTATAATTTTTTTACCGGCCAAGGCATCCGAACAGGTCGTCTTCAGCTCCCTGCAAAAAAAATAAATGTGTTACTAATAACAGTTAATACCATAGAACAACAAACTTAGAATGGAAACTGTAATGTAATGTAAAAATGACGCGCCATCTCGTGTATGTTCTCAGCAGCTTTTTGCGTGAATGGCGCCAAATTTAAATATTAAAATGTAAGCTACGTCCGCATGATACTGAATTTCTCCGGATCTGTAACAATAACATTGGATTTGACTAACTGAAACCTAAAAGGTAAATGAATCCAGCCAGTGAAGTCCAATTTTGTTTGTTAGGGGTCCAAATAAATTCAGTTTAATGCGGATGCACCTCACCAGTCAGGGCCTTCAAAGAGTACAGAGCACTTGTTTTATAAGTAACAACTCCAATTAATCCAATCCAGGAGTTATATTTAATTTAATATGATTATACAAGATACAAGATCAACTTCATGAAACTCTACTGTATGATGCTCTCGAGATCGTTCTAAAAACAAAATATGTAGCAATTTATTACAATTCAATTAGTGCTACCTGCTAAATATAATGTGCGAACTGCCATACGCTTTAAATCTCTTCGTGTTCCAGGTTCTAAAGCGCAGCCAGAAAAATGACGTTCACAAACCAAAAACTTTTGTGTAAATTTCTTCCACATTATATTCTAAACCAATTCTTAAAAACTTCGGGCTCCATTTTTTGGAAACGTCTTCACAATTTGTCACACAACATTTACGTTCTCGACTTGTATATGCATAATTCATTGTAATAATGAATAGTAATTATACTTAAAGCACAATAAGCCGTCAATCAAAATTCAACTGTCATAATGGCGCACAAGCACTAAAGTCACTAGATTTAGTAACTTTAACACGCCCGCTAACTATGCGCCATCTATTGAATGTTCTCCAAACAAACTATATCTGCACTCAGTTGTTCCCGTTTACGTTTCCCTTCTAAGTTTTTTGTTCTGGGGT